CTGTGTGAGCAGGCTAATCAAAGTCCACTTGCTGATCTGTTGAGAATGGCCGCTGTGAGCGGGCCAGCCAAAGTTCTTTTCCGGATCTGACGAGAATAGCCTGTGTGAGCAGGCTAATCAAAGTCCACCTGTTGATCTGCTGAGAATAGCCCCTGCGAGCGTGCCAGCCAAAGTTCTTTTCTGGATCTGACGAGGATAGCCTGTGTGAGCAGACTAATCAAAGTCCACTTGCTGATCTGTTGGGAATGGCCGCTGTGAGCGGGCCAGCCGAAGTTCTTTTTCGGATCTGACGAGAAAAGTCTGTGTGAGCAGGCTAATCAAAGTCCACCTGTTGATCTGCTGAGATTAGCCCCTATGAGCGGGCTAGCCAAAGTCCCTCTGCCGATCTGACGAGAACAGCCTGTCAGAACAGGCTAATCAAGGTACACTTGCGGATCTGATGAGAATAGCCGCTGTGAGCCGGGTCAAGCAAAGTTCTTTTCCAGATCTGACGAGAATAGCCTGTGTGAGCAGGCTAATCAAAGTACACTTGTTAATCTGCTGAGAATAGCCCCTGTGAGCGGGCTAGCCAAAGTCCCCTTGCAGATCTGACGAGGGCAGGCTAATCAAGGTACACTTGCTGATCTGCTGAGAATAGCTGCTGTGAGCGGACTAGCCAAAGAATGTTTGCTGATCTGTCCAGAACACCCTGTGGGAGTGGACCAATCAAGCAAGAGCCCACTGCTGCTGATGGGAACAACTGACCTCACAGATCAGTCCGAAGAAGCAAGAGTACGCCGCCGCTGAAGGGGGGGGTAACTATTTTCGCCGTTCGATACAGGCAAATACTTCTGCCTTTTATAGCACAATTGGGTCTTTTATCTTGTTTTATTTTTATTTTTATTTTTATTTTATCATATGTTTACACGATTTCAACTCAATTAATTCCCGGGACTCAAGAGGCCGATCGTCTACAAACTGCSGAATCAAGGGCATTCTAGGGAACTTTATTTCGGATCGATCGAGGTCAACACGGGCGAGGGCGTCATCCCAAACTCTCAACCGAGTCGTTTTCAAACTGCCATTCAGGGTATTACTGGGAAATGCAATGCTGGCCGATTGAGAGCTTCTCAATCGAACATATCATTTGTGACTTTGAGCCAGCTTGGTTACGATCTGCTCGAGCGCAAGGGGGCTATCCCGCGAGAGAGAGAGGGACAGAGAGAGAGAGATAGAGAGGACAGTGGGGGAGAGAGAGATAGAGAGGATAACGGGCGAGAGAGAGATTGAGAGAACAACTACAGAGAACCAACGGCGAAGGTGAGAGAGAGAGTGCAGCGAGATTGAGGGAGAAAGAACAGCGTGAGTAAGGGAGTGAGAACAGCGAAAGGGAGGAAAAGAGAAAGTGGGGTGGCACATCCAAAGTTGACTGTGAAACTTACTGTGGCGGCCTAGTAGCTGTTCCCAGCTGACTGCTAAAAACAATGTGACACCGGTTGACTGTTGAAACCGCCTTAGTGCGTGAATTGGCTGAATTATTAATTGATTGCAGAAACGTACTGGTGAGCGATACCAATTAACAGTTGGAACACCTTGTTGGTCGAAGCCGCTAGGGAGCGTGACAGGGCGCCCCCGACTTCGATGCCTGCTGGTCGCTGAGGACCTCGGAAGCGGGCGCGGCGAGTGACAGGCGCCGTAGCCCTTGGCTTCAGCGAGGAGTAGGCGCCCCTCCCCGGGTTTCCTCACAACATTGGCGCCGTTGCCGGGGAGGGGATTGCACCCCCAAGGCCGCGGCCTTCCCCGATCAACGGAGGGTGCACGGGTTGGTGAGTACAAGCACTAATTAGCTCATTTCCTTAATTAGTTTGATTTTTTTATATTTTTTGAATTGGTTGTTTTTTCGATATCTCCCAATCCACGCGTTCTTGCGCGAGGCGCTCCGGGAGCAAAGTTCGACCTCTCGTCGAGGCGGATGTTTTGAGACGTTTCTTGAGAAATTCTAACGGCTAGAAAAAAAGAGATATGGAATTTTTTGTATTTTCTAATTAAAAACCCCTAAAATCATGAGTCTAAATATTTAATTCGTTGTTTTTCGATATCTCCCGATCCGCGCGTTTTTGCGCGAGGCGCACGAGAGCAAAGTTCGGCCTCTCGTCGAGGCGAACGTTTTGAGACGTTTTTTGAGAAATTCTAACGGCTAGAAAAAGAGATATGGAATTTTTTGTATTTTCTAATTAAAAATTCATAAAATCATGAGTCTAAATATTTAATTCGTTTTTTTCGATATCTCTCGATCCGCGCGTTTTTGCGCGAGGTGCACCAGGAGCAACGTTCGACCTCTCGTCGAGGGGAACGTTTTGAGACATTTTTTGAAAAAGTTTAATGGCTAGAAAAGGAGATATGAAATTTTTTGTATTTTTCTAATTAAAATTCTGAAAATCGTGAATTTCCTTTTATTTTAATTACGAAGAAAAGAAGCGAAATTAGGTGAACCTCGCCCGGACCAAAGTTGGTCCTTGTATTTTTCCCGACATTTTGAGACCTTAGTCGGGGAAAACGGACTCCGTTAGAACGAGTGGTGACCGCCAACAGATAGGAAAAGAGAGAAAAATTAAGAGGAATTAGTGATTTTCTTAGTATTTTTATAAAA